TAAATTGGAATTTGTGTATCTAATCTTTGATCATATTCTATTTGAATGGTAACGATTGAATTTTTTTTCTTTATGAATTTTTTCAATCATCTAAAATTTAAAAATACTAACGTGATCGAAATCTATTGACACAAAATAGTTTTTAACTAACATGTAATAAAAAATAGATCTCACTTGGATTTATTAAGAAAAAAATTATAAAAGAAAATGGCTTGCAATGATTAAAAGAAATCAAAATTAATTACTATTAATTGAATGAAATCGACAAGTTTTCTAACCAATTCCTTAAAACACTTTTAAGATATCATCATCTAAACATTTTTTTTCAACCTAATGCAAGAGTTTTCACCTTCAACCGTCTAAACAATTCAAGTTCATTTAGCTAAAAGTCATTAATTTTTTTTTTAATTCTTGGTAACTATTTTCTTTTATAAAAGTTTTATATAATTTTTTTCAATCTTTTCTCAATAAATTTGAGTGGGATCTATTTTTTGCTATGTGTTAGTGGATCCCGATCACGCCAATATTTTTCAATTTTAGATAACTGAAAGAACTCAAATTTAAAAAAAAAAAATCAAACATCGAGCTTTCAAACGAAAAAGATAATCAAAGGTTAGGTACTAAAATTATATATATATTTTTTTTTTTTTTTTTCTGAATACTCCAAGTGAGACCTACTTTTTGACACGTAAAAATGAAAGAGCTTTTGGTTTTTTTTTTTTTTTTTTTTTCACGTTGTCAAAGAATTGAACAATAAAAATATGGAAAATGCTTGATCGAATTGATCGGGTCATGTAGGAACAAGGTTCAAGTATGCTAAATCACATGGCAGTTCATCTCGGGCATATTAATATCTTTTAATCTCGGGTGAGTCGAAGGAAGTCAAAAGGAAAAGAAAAAAATCAAATATTGGGCATTTAAATAGAAAAAAAATACGAAAAGTTAGGCACTCAAATTATATTTTTTTCTAAATTATCTAATTGGAACTCATTTTTTGCCACATGATAGTTCATTCCAAACATATCAATATTTTTCAATCTCAAGTGATTATGAACACTAAAAAAAAAAACCTTAGACATTGAGATAAAAGGATTTACTAGTTATGTACTCAAACAAAAATCAAATTTAGTCTCCTGAAAATGATTTACTTATCAACCATTGGAGTAAAAATAAATAATAATAAATATTAAACTTAACTTTAAGGGTTATTTACGCTTGTTATAAGAAACAAAAATCAAGCATAATTAATCGTATAATATTATGACAAGCGAGAAGATAACTAATGTCTTATGTTCTCGAGAAGTTTTTAAATTATCGTCAATCTTATATTATGTCAAAAAATAAAATATCCTTTATTTATTTGTTTACTTTTAATATTATATGAAAAGATTTGAGATTAAAATTTTTATTGAACAAATATTTAAAAGAGAGTGTTACTAGCACTCCTCATAACCTAAAGCCTCCCGGCCGCTTTTCTTCCTTGTTGGCCATTTTTTTGACTTGTGGACAGCCCTAAAACCCTATTTTTTTTTCCTTTTTCCCTTGCCTCATCTTCTATCCCCCCCCCTCCCCCCCCCCCCCGCGGGATTTGGATGTATATTTTCCGAATTTTGTGTGCTTTTATTTGTTGAATGATTGAGATTTAAATATTCACGTATCTCGAATATTTCATTTTATTTGTTATTGTAGATTCAAATTTGGATTATTTAAATCTAAATTTTTGTTTACTTTTTCTTTTATTTGGGCCTGGTTCCCTTTTATTTTAAAAGATTTGGTGCTTGTTTTTAATTCTTTTGAAGATTTTAGTAAAGGCTGGCTGTGATAGATATTCTATCAATGAAGCCAAGTAGCCCGCTTTTCATTGTTTCATGATAGCCTAAACTCATTTGTAACACATTAATTTGTTAGTGGTACCATGCTTGGATGCTTGCAGTCCAAGTTAGAGGATTTCAAAAAGTCTAATTTTCTTTTATTTTTGGCCCAATTAATAGATTGGCTAGCTAATCTAGTTGCTTTTAAAATTCAGTCAACCCCGTTCAACGACTGATCAATGAAATATACTTTAGTCAGCAGAATAAGATGTTTTCTTTACGAACTTCGAAGTTCTTTTCGCTAGTGGCAAACTTGGTCGGTGTCTGACTGCTTTTTAAATAATGCATTACGTAAAACGCATACCTGCAATATTCTTGTAATGCAAGACAAAAAAAATATCAGAAGTATGCAATATTTAAAAAGCTGATATATCATACAACTCCAGAGCTCCAGGACAAAAGCAATGCAAGAATATAAACCACTCTTTTTTTTATTTCAAAAAAAAAAAACAGAAGATTACATCATTAGCGAGTCCAATGGTTGAATACTCTCTCTGCGGATATATATAGTGGAGTTTTCATTCCAATTACATCATTTGTTACGTTACTTATGCTGGATATTTTGGAAGATAAAATAGGTAAGAAGTATTGAAAACCTGAAAAGTGTCGTAAAATTATTATTTCAATTCAAAAATTTAAATTATTAGATGAAGCTTAATTAAGATTTGAATTTATAATTTTTTTATCATTAAGGCTCTAACGTCATATCAAAAGATTATATTAATTTAAAAGTGTAAACTGTTAAATAAGAAATCTAAAATAATTTTATATTATTTTCTGAAGAAAAAGACTTTGGCATTTTATCTGCTGTTAAGATCAGTACAACATTTTAATTATCCCGAGCTGACTTTCTTATGTGGCTACCGTGGCAACATTATTTAGATCAGTGATATTTCTTCGAACATTATATACTTGATATGTTTTACTGTCAATTACTTGGTTCCTAAACTCCACCCGTCAACTCTTTGGCATCAGATGACAAATGAAAAATGAATCAAATATGTTTAATTAATTATGTAGGAGCATCGGGTTTGTGTTGGTTCCGATGTAGTAAGATATCAAATTAGTTCAAATTGGATTTGGTTTGTTTAATGGAGATTCCAGTACCCCCAGTCATATTAGCCCAAGACCAGTAGAAATAAGTTCATGCTGGTTCGGGTCTAGTACTTTAGTTGTCTCTAGTAGTAATGTGTGTACTATGTCACTGCATTGGCTCATCAGTTGTTGGCATTCCCCGTTATAGTAGTGAAAAGGGCTAACATGACCATGAGATCTGAGGACAAAACTGAAAAGGTGTAGCTCTAAAACTATGATATTTGCTGCAGTTCCCTGGAGCAGAAGAAATCAAAAAGAAAGAGGCAACAACCTCCAAAGAACGTAATGGATGTGGATTTGGATGTTAATGGTGAAGGAGGTTCACATTAAATAGAAGTATATATAGTTGGCGAAACGTAAACAACGAAAGGAAATGGAAGAAACTCAGTTTTCCTGCCACTTTTTTCTAAGTTTTGTCAGATTACAAAAACTACCAATTTTAGATAGTAATAGTTTCTTACAGCAAATTTTGATCTACTCGGCTCCTAAAAATTCTTAATCAAAATTGACATTCAAGTCCATTTCTGTCTAGATTGAGATATTAGGCCTGAAGAAACCTGTCAGTGAGTTTTTTTCACCATATTTATGAGATGAAAATTCGAGTTTTGAGTTGGCATTTGTGGGTCAATAATGGTTGTTTGTTTTGAATGTCGAAGCTAGTGAATTAATTTGGTCAATATCATATCATTTGCTTATGGCTGCCTCCTAATATCATAGCACATGGTTATGGTCGTGTGTGGAACTTTACTTATCAAATGACACGGGAAGCACTTTTTGATGCTCCTAATCACAAAATTAGGCAATGTCTGTATACGTAATGCATGCTGCGGATTATTTTTAAGTTAATTGGTTACAAAGTTTTCTAAATTTTTTATTAAAAAAATCTCAAATTTTAACTTTTCTAATTTAAATTGCGAATCTTTACTTTTTATCATACGCAATAAGTTTTTTTTTTTTTTTTTTTTTTTGGGTTTTGGTTTATCAGTTTCAAATGTCTTTTTTTTCCGTGAATTTGAATTTCGTTTCAGGAACCTAGAGTTTAGGAAAAAGGTTTCGTAAGTAAAGTTGTTTTTTATCTTTAAAAATATCCCAAATTCAAAAATCGATTAATTTTTCGTTATTGTATCGGATGCATAAGAGAAAGATAGCTCTTCTAAAAAAACTTTACGTAGATAAAAATTCGAATTCGAGATTATTTATTTAAATGACTATAGGCTTTTCTATTCAAGTTAACCCTTGCACTTGAAAGTTAGAAAGGAAAAAATAATGTATCCCCACATTTAATTTGGATTTGGGTATTTTAGTCATTCTATTTTTCTTACGTGCCTTTTACTTATGTTTTTTTTTTAAATAAGAATCTAAATTAGAAAAGTTAAAAATTTGTTACTTTTATCGAATTAACTAAAAATTCAGAATATTTTATAATCCATTAGCCTTTTAAAAAAAAAAAAAATAGATGCACGTTTGTTTCATTGTGATTCTGCATAATATTATGCTGTAGTGGGTGGCACTTATGGGAGCAACAATAAATGAAAACAGATGCTTGCAAACTGTTACTTTGTCATTTCCTAAGTTCATAAATTACAATTTGATTGATTTCGATTTTGTTGATGTTTTGCGTTTAGGTTTCCTTGCCCAGGACCCATTTTTGGGGTTCTTGAACTACGGAAAAGTGCAATTCATATGCTGGGGCTTTATAATTTGCTATAGCATCTTGTAATTACTAATCAATATTGGAACAAGGGTGACTACATGGATACAGTATACTCAAATATCATGATCGAAGCCATGTTCTTACATTCCCTGCCTGAGAACAAAATTTTAATGGTGATGTGCCTCTCTAATTGAACAGTCTTTAATTCTTCCGTCATCCCTAGCTAGCTCCCTGTTGAATACTGGAGAGCCATCAGCCAACTAGAGTCAATAGACCCGTTTGTGATTACAAAAAATGTTCTTCTTAGTTACCTGTTGCATTTCGTTAACACGGTCAATCTTGGCCTGCTTAAACATACATGCTGCCAGTACGCTGACCTCTTACACAATTGGCGCGCAACCAAATGAGGCCTTAGCCATGGCACTCGAATGGTGACTGTTGCACCCTAAAACTCTAAGCAAACTCCACAATCCTTTCCCTTTCTTCCCACTGCTCATTTCTATTCCCTTTTTGGATTGAAACATACTTGTCGGACTCTTCCTGCTCTGCCTCGTCTTAATATCGTTCCGGTCCATCTCCATCGGAAATCTTCCAACTCCGAATGCCAAAAAGTACCACCTTGGCTTCATCGCGGTCGCTAGCATTGGTACCTTCTTCATCGAAAAGTTGTACTTATCATCGCATTTCTTTGTTGCACACCCATGATTCTCCGATGGAGGCACGACTTGCAAAGTCTTGTCACTCTTTTTCTGTAGTTGCTTTGGTACTGATGTAGTCCTTGACTTGTTTAAAGAGAATGATTTCCATGGGAAACTGAACCTCTTCTTGGTATTTTCCCCTTTATTTGTGCTTTCGAGGCTCTGTGCTTTTTCTGCTTCTGTTTCTCCTTTGTAAGGAATGAGCTTTCCACAAAAGATGATATGATCCGAGGGATAAGTAGAGGCAGTGAAGTCTTCGCTGAAGAACTCGAAGAAATCTTGATCAAAAGACGTCCCCAAGCTTTGATCTTCTTTGGAGAAGTCATCCCAATCAGAAGAAGAGCTATTTAACGGAAGATCACGGAGGGAGAGCGTTTCTGCTGCATCATCAAAATCTTGCAACTCCCACTCCTCTTGCAGCGGTTCATGGCTCATTTCTTTCGCAACCATTGTCAATATCAAACAATGAGAAGGTGAAGGATCCAAAAAAGAACCAAGAAGAGATTGTTATCAAGGAAGTTTGTAAATGGCTTTGCTGTAGTTTGATGAGAATAAATGGCCAAGTTGTCACGACTATATATACACACAAGGACTCAAGGACCTAGAAGGAAGATGCTCTGACATGTTTGCTCACAACTAACTGGTTGAAAGGAATTGGGGCCGGCTTCTAGAGGGGAAAGAATAAAGAAGACGAACGAAGTAAATTAAAAGTACTCCATAACGGGATTTTAGAAAATCTTTCTAGAAGAGCACGCGGTCATAGATGGACAAATGGTGGGATTTTAATCGTCTCGAGCTTCAAATTTTCTATAGGTTGATTAAAGAAGTCATGCATGTATGCTTTTTTATTATTTATTTATTTTTGCTTTTCTTTCAATATTTAATCTCTCTTGAGGGCGGCTTTCTAGAATATTTTACTAGCTAGTTAGACTCCAATGTTTGTCTCTAGGTTGTTGTCTTTTTTTTAAAAAATAATAATAATAGGTGTTTGTGGATGTTTCTACGTATATAGGTTTCTTTTTTCTTTCAATAAATCTTTTTCCTTATTATTTCACCAAATTTGATGGAAAGTTGGTGGTCTATAATTATTACGGAGAGTTTAGCAGGATTCAAGATGCTGATGGTACATGTTTCTTAGTCTTAAACTTCATGCATAGCCATGTTTTTCAATTGAGTTTGTTTAAGTGATTTGAAAAATTAACTCTTGGTTAGAAAAAATGAAAACATTTAGTCAGAAGTTATTCATGTATTTTTATTGGATCCTTTATAATAGAGTTTTTTAGTGTAGTTAGGATAACTGAAGTATCTAAATTACCAATTTTTTCTTTTTTATATATTTAAGATGTTGATTAAATTGATTTTCCTAATCTATCAATATTATTATATTGTTGTCGTTCGGAAAAAGAAAGAAAAAAGTTCCGTCATTATCAGTCACGCAAGTAATAGTTTGGTAACATGAATGGGGCCAAACTCCGCGTTGGAACTTCTCTTTACTGCTAATCTTGTACTCTCTGTAGTAGCAAGAAGACTTGCAATTGTGAACGGGATGACTTTTTTCTTCTTGGCATGATAAAGAATGTGATTTAATATTGTTAATTTGGATCTGCTGTATGCTTTAATTATCCCTTTAGCACTCAATGGTTGTTGTGGTCTGCCACGTGTTGAGATCTAGAATGCCAGTACCCTAATCGGAATATTCTTGGTCAGCAAGGATTAGTTTTCCTTTTCTTTTTTTTTGTTTTATTTGGGTACTCAATTCTTGGTTAGCAAGTTAATATCTTGTCAGTGTCAGTGTATCGGTTGAACTTGTATAGTGTTACTATTTGACATTTATTTGGTTAATGAAAAATTAAGGAGAATCAATCCCACATAAAAATGAAGTTTAGTCCGGAAATGAGTTTGTGAATGGCTTTTTTGGTTGTTAGTTGTCTTTTTCCTTTTTTTTTTTTTTTACAGTAAGAGCATTTCTATACTTGTTTCTATATTTGTTTTTGTGTATTATGAAATTAATTCATTTCTAAACGTAGATAAGAGATATTTTTTAATGCATGATTTTAAATATTTTTAGAATAAATTTTTAAAAATATTAATCACAAAAATCGAATTATAAACTTAACTTATAAATCGATATATGCCTACTAATAAACTACAATATTATGATTTATTAATTGTTTTTTTATCATAAAAAGTAGTTTTAAGTGTCGATCAGTATTAGTTTTACCATTTGGTTATTAATCTCTCGTTTTTATTATTCTTCTTCAATCACTTCAAATTATCATTTGTCTCTCAAAAACAAAAGGAAAATAAATAGAATTCCTAATCTAGATATTTGATATCAAGAAATTACTATACAAACCCAATTTAGCACCGTGAGAATGATTTATTTATCAACTATAGAGTAAGAGAAATACATATTAACGGTAACTTTAAGGGCTTCTTTTTGCTTGTTAAAAGAAACAAAAATCAAGCATAATTAATTATGCCATTGATTTACATATATATAATATTATGACCAAATATGATAGAAATTAACATGAGATGATTGTTAAAGAGAGATTATTAACCATATTGTCTCACCCATTTATCTAAAACCCGAAACCTCCAGCTCCTTTTTTTTTTTTTTTTGATAATCCAGGATGTTCGGGCCAACTTGCGCGCACTACGACTAATCCCCGGATCCACTGAACACCCCGCAAGCTCGGTGGATAGATAAGACACCACGGGGGTGACAGGCATACGCAAAGAAAATCGAACCCGGATGATCATCGGGCAAACCCTCAATCGTTAGGCTACGACCTCAAGCGCCTCCAGCTCCCTTTCTCATTTGTCTAGAGGTTGCTGCTGGCTATTTTTTGGTTAGTAACAAAGCCTTCTCTTTCATCTTTCTTGCCTTGCCTGATCCTCTTTCTTTTCTTCTTCTTCTTTTTTTTTTCCCACAAATCTAAATCCATATTTCCATATCTCTGTGCATGCGTGTTTTTTTTTTTTTTTTTTTTGGAAAGAAAGAGACTTGGCTCCTTACGGATCTGAAATATTTCATTTTATTTGTTTATGCAGATTCAAATCTGGACTATTTAGATCTGAATTTTTGTTTGGTGTTCTCTCTTATTGGGATCTGCTCTCTTTATGTTAGGATTTCTTTTTCTTTGAATAAAGGTTTCGTGCTTGTTTTTATTTAGTTATTTTTAAGATTTTGGTAATTATTGACAGGGAGATTTTTCATCAATAAAGTTTGAAGTTTTTTATTTTCAATTATTTTTGTTCCAATGGATTGGCTAGCTGATCTAATTACATTACAAATCAGTCAACCCATTCAATATTGTTCAATGAAATATACTTAACTTAAATTGTTGGTCTAAAGCGATTGGCTTTCAAACAAATTTTATATCACTATACAAAGTTTGAATTCTAAAATCTAACTTATTTAGAAGAATTAATCCTTATTATTTTTACTCCTAATAAAATTAGTCTTATATTCAATTTTGGGATAAAGATATCCGAAAAAACCAATATATATACACCTAAGTCAGCAGATTAAGATGTTTGCTTTAGGAACTTCGATGTTTTTTCTCACTAGTGGCAAAGTTGATCGGTTTCTTATTGCTTGATCAATAATGGATTACGTAAAAGAAAACGGATCCCTGCAATATCTTCGTAGAAATATCCCTCAGAACTCCAGGACAAAAGCAATGCAAGAATATAAACCACTCTTTTTTTAAAGTAAGATTACAAAAGCACGTGTACTCCACGAAAGTTGTTTCTATAATTTCCACCTAACGAATCATTTCTTTTCCGTCATTTTCTATTTATGAGTTCTTCTCTATAGTGAAACAATATTCAGAAGCTAGCTAGCACACAAGCTTCACTTGGTAAAGATAGAAAAAGCTCTCCCAATATGAAGAATCTTTTTTGTTGGTATTTTAGATCGATGTTTGGTGTATATAATATTCCAAGTGGAACACCCATGCATACATTAATTATCTCATCAAACTAATCTCTCTTTCTCAGTTATGAGATCCCATCTATTCAATTTAATTTAGCAACGGGCGTATCATAGTTTTCTATTTCACATAAAAGAAATTTATATGTTTTAGTGAAAATTGCTTTGATCATAAATGCAGGGTCAGCTAGGTTCCTTTACGCTTGACAAACGAATGGTTTTGCAACGATTCTATTTGCCGTCTGTCTGAATGAAGCTCTGCAAATGCTTCATTAATTTGAGATGTTTTAAGGCAGTGACACTTGGTTCTGATCATATATATATATATATATATATATACACACACACACTACAATTTCATGCTAAAATATTCTCAAGAACGTATACATATAAAATTTATCCATCTTCCATCGTGATAATGACTTGGTAACTAACCATTTAAATATCCCATATTTAATTTAGGAGCATCCAGACGTCATGCACGATATCAGGTGTAAAATACAATGAGAAACCAATTATTATTATTATTTTTTTTTTTGAAATGCAATCTACCTTAATGTTAACCTGGGGGAAATGGCAAGACGAAGACAGAAAACTTCCGTTAGATAGATTTTGTTTTGAGAAAACTACATTATAAATATATTAATTTAAAATTTTTTTCAATTGAATACATTAATTTTTATTATTTTATTTGAGTATATGAATTTTTTTAAAACATAGATTTTGTTGTGCAGGTATCATAATCAAGATCGTTACCCTCAATCACTCTTTCACCGTTCGATCAGCCAAAGGAAAAGTTAATCCATCCATTCATTCCACTCAGAATTAATCACTACCTCATGACCATGTCTTCTGTAATCATTACAAAACATATTATGCGGATTAATATGATTAGGCTTCTATTATGTTAAGAATTAAGGCTGAAATAATTGGTCATGTATTCAACTATCCATTATATCAGTTAATTGTTCGAATTACTTGATAAAAAAATTTAATCAAATGTGTGGAATAAACTAATTGATTAATACGATTAGTCTTATTGTCCAAACATTAAAGGATCTTGTTGTGATTGATTATAAGGACGATTTTTTAACAACGGAGAGAATTATTATCAGCTTGGCGTTTTGTGCAACACCTGCTACCTTCAGAGATTCACTCAAACTGTTGCAATGCAATCGACTGTAGCTTTACCCCTACACAAACCACACAAACTCTTCTCTCTCTTTCCTTTGCTACTCTTATCCTTAATTTCGATCTATCATTTTCGGGTGAAAACATCATGGCTGGAGTTGAACTCCTCTTACTTTGCCTCATCCCAATTGTTACGCACTATAATTTGTTATTTATTGTTATCTTTATCTCTTATCCTTATCCTCTATTTTATTGTATATTTAGAATTCTAGTTCAGCTATCACATACGTGTATATATATACAAACATATCACCATTGAAAGATACAACCTTTTATCAGATTCTTTTTTTCCTGCATAATTTCTTTACATGATATCAGCCTAATCTCGTTCCTAACTATTTCCCACCAATGGCCGCCCTCAATCAACCTAACCCATCATCACCATATTACCTTCATTCCTCTAATCCACCTGGTCAATCACTTGTCACTCAACTTCTCAATGGTGACAATTACCCCACTCGGAGTCGAGCCACAATTACCCCACTTGGAGTCGAGCCATCGTTATGGCATTGGAGGCCAAAAACAAACTTGGCTTTATTGATGGCAGTATTCCCAAACCTGAGCTTGATACTGCAGATTATGCTTTTTGGGTCCGTTGCAATAGTATGGTCCAATCTTGGCTTGTCCATTCCATAACCCCAGACATTGCCAATTATATCCTTTGGATTAAGAGTGCACGTGATATTTTGCTTGATCTCCTTCCCCGCTTCAGCCAAAAATGTGCACCACGCATCTTTGAAATCCGTAGAGCAATTTCTAATCTCTCTCAAGGCAATAACTCTGTCTCTGCCTACTACACAACGTTGAAGGCTTATCGAGATGAACTTGACTCCTATCGCACCCTTCCAACTTGTGCCTGTGGTACTTTACCAAATTTCAACGACATTTATGATACTGATCATCTAATGGAATTTCTTCAAGGATTAAATGATTCATATGCCTCTGTTCGGAGTCAAATTCTTCTCATGGATCCCCTTTCCTCTGTGCTCAAAGCATATTCTCTCTTTTTGCAGGAAGAACGTCGACGTTCCTTATCTGATTCACGTTCTGTCCCACTCAATCAATCTGCAATGTCTGTTCAGCAATCCACTCCATCCCGAGGTGTCAATCCCAAACCTCACTATCATTATTCCATTTGCAATGTTGATGGTCACTCCGACAGTCGCTGTTACTCAAAATTTGGATACCCTCTTTAGTGGAAACATAACTCAGGCTCCAACAAATCTCGCCATGGTTCTTCATCCCGTGATGGCCGCGGCTCAGGATCTTCTTCCATGCTAGCTCATCCCAAAGCTGCTGCTGTTACCTCATATCTGGGTTCTCCACCTTTGAACAATTTGACTCCGACTCTGTCTCTTCTTAAGAATGGTAATGCACAACCTCTTGCAAATTTTGCAGATACCTCTTTTCGCTGCTTTGTCTCCTTTAAACCTTGCTCTTCCATATGGATCTTAGATTCAGGTGCCACAAATCATATGGTATCTGATCTCTCTTTTTTCATTCATATACAAAAGTATCCACTTCTATCAAATTACCTAACAATAAGCTTGTTCCAGTTCACCATATTGGCTCTATTTATTTAAAATCTGGTCTATTAATTCCACATGTTCTACATGTTCCCTCCTTCCATTTTAATCTATTGTCCATTAGTTAGCTTTGCAAAGACATTAACTCTTGGATCACTTTTACTCTTAATTCTTGTGTTTTACAAGATCAGAGGACGAAGAGGACTACTGTGATAGGTGAGCAACACTGGGGTCTGTACACTATGGATAACTCTTCTGCCACCTTTATCTCTACTGCATCATTTGGTTCCCATTTTGACTTATGGCATTGGCGCTTAGGACACCCTTCCACCACTTTATCTCCACAGCTGAGTAATTTAGATTCTAGCATTAAGTTTTCTAATAAATGTACTTGCATTGTCTACCCTTTGGCCAAACAGACTCATTTAAATTTTTCATTGAGTTGCATATCTACTGTTAAATGTTTTGAATTGGTACATTTTGATCTTTGGGGACCTTATACAAAAAATCAATCTTCTGGTGCCAAATTCTTTGTGACTGTGGTTGATGACTTTTCTAAGAGTACTTTAGGTATTTCTAATGCAACATAAATGTGAGGTAAACACAATCATTCCTAAGTTTTTTAAAATGGTTGACAAACAATTTCACACTAAAATTCAAAAAATTCAATCTGACAATGCACGTGAATCTTTCAACTCTCAAACCAATCTTTTCTTTCAAAATTTGGGAGTACTACAACAATTAAGTTGTGTTGATACTCCGTAACAAAATGGTATTGTGGAATGTAAACACAGACGTTTACTAAATGTTGCATGTGCATTGCATTTTCAATCCAACTTGCCATTAAATTTTTAGGGTGATTTTGTGTTAACTGCTGCATATTTAATTAATCGTCTACCTACCCTAGTTCTAAAAGGCAAGACACCTTATGAAATATTGTTTAACAAAAAATCAAATCTTTCTCATTTTTGAGTTTTTGGTTGTTTGGTATATGGTTGGAACACACACATCACCCACAAGTTTGACAATCAAGCCTCTCCAGGAATTTTTTTAGGATATCCCCATGGTCTAAAAGGTTATAAAATACTTGATTTATCTTCAAAATAAATTTATGTAACATGAGATGCTATTTTCATGAATATATTTTTTCATATCAAATGCTTAATGCTCAGAATCCTAACTTAGTTTTACCACTACCACCACCAAAAGTTGCTATTACCTCGCCCATTATTCATCATATTCCTAATAAGCCCCTCCCAACTAATGACTTCACCCACCCGTTTCCTCTTCTCCAGACATCTGCCTCTAATGCCCCTCCAACTCCTAACCATCCAACCCCCCAATCTCAATATCAAATCATGTTCTGCCCTTGCCTCTTGCAATAGCACCTGAGCAACCTGTATCATCCATCACGCTTCGTGCTCTATCTACTGAGCAACCTATCTCGTCAGCTATTGACCACCCTCAATTGCTTCCACATCGTCCATCACGTACGAGGCATCGTCCCTCTTATCTCGATGACTACCTGTGCTCTCTCACCTCATTACAGTCTTTCACTTCTACCAATGATCATATGATACACTTTATCCTCTCTGTAATTTTTTATCTTATCATCATTTTTCTGCTTCACACCATTCTTTTCTTTCTTCCTTGGCTGTTGACACTGAGTCGAAGTCATATTCCGAGGCTAAGACTTCTTCGAAATGGTGCAACGCCATGCAGTCTGAGATTGATGCTTTGTGTGAAAACAAAACTTGGTCCGTAGTCCCACTACCAGCCGGGAAGAAACGAATTGGTTGTCGATGGGTTTACAAAATTAAACAAAATTCAGATGGAAGTATTGAACAGTATAAAGCGAGACTAGTTGCAAAGGGTTATACCCAAGTTGAAGGCGTTGACTATTTTGATACATCTACTCCAGTCGCTAAACTTGTCACAGTTTCAGTCCTACTATCTATTACCGTTGCCAAACACTGGCCTCTCCATCAACTCGACGTAAATAATGCTTTTTTACACGGTGATCTGAATGAGGATGTATTTACGCAATTGCCACCTGGTTTTCGACGTCAAGGGGATCCCCTGGTTTGTAAACTGCAAAAGTCTTTATATGGTCTTAAACATGCATCACGAAACTAGTATTCAAAATTCTCAGAGGTTCTTATTGATTTTGGTTTTGCTCATAGTACTGCTGACCATTCTCTTTTCTGCTTTCACCGCAAATCAAGCTCTGTATTTCTCCTCCTTTATGTCGATGACATTGTTCTCACAGGCTCCCACCCGCAGCTCATCAGCTTGGTCAAGGATCTTTTGCCAAAAAAAAAAAAAAATTAAAGACTTGGGGCGATTGAAGTACTTTTTGGGAATTGAAGTTGCAATATCGCCTATTTTTATCTCAAAGACAATATGCTCTTGACATCATCTCTGATAGTGGTTTTACTGCATCTAAACTAGTAGACTTTCCTATGGAACAAAACCTGAAATTATCTCCATCATAAGGTACTACATTGACTGATCCTTCACCACATCGTCGTCTTGTGGGTCGCCTAATTTACCTCACAGTGACACGTCCAGACATTGCTCACTCTGTCAACATCTTAAGTCAATTCATGCATGCCCCTTGCCAACCCCACATGGATGCTGTTGTTACAACCCTTAGTTACCTGAAGGCCACACCTGGACAGGGTCTTCTCTTTCTCTCTACTTCAAATTTATCTTTCAATGCTTACGTGATTCAGATTGGGCTAGTTGTCCCACCACTAGACGCTCCACCTGTAGTTACTGTATTTATTTGGGTCAGAGTTTAGTTTCATGGAAAACAAAGAAACAAACTGTGGTGTCCCGCTCCTCTGCTGAAGCAGAGTATAGAGCGATGGCAAATGCAACTTGCGAAATCACTTAGCTCTCATATCTTTTAAATGACACTGGCCTCCCTCTTTCTACAGCTACTCCACTATTTTGTGATAACCAGTCTGCTCTCCACATTGCTTCTAGTCCGGTATATCATGAGCGTACTAAACATATCGCGATCGATTGCCATGTTGCTCGTGAAAAAATTGCTTCCGGGCTCATTAAACATTTGAAGGTCAGCTCAATCGATCAAATTGCTGATTTGTTTACCAAATCCCTGGGCAAAGATTAGTTTATGCGATTGAAGACCAAGATGGGTGTTTCAACATAACACTCACCATCTTGAGGGGGAGGGTTACGCACTATAATTTGTTATTTGTTGTTATCTTTATCTCTTATCCTTATTCTCTATTTTGTTGTATATTTAAATTTGAATTCTGGTTCAGCTATCACATACGTGTGTATATATACAAACATATCACCAATGAAAGATATAGCCTTTTATCAGATTCTTTCTTTTCTTGCATAATTTCTTTACACTCATATCACTCAAATCCATCTCCGTTAGAAATTTACCAACTCGTAGTCTAATCAAATGACGTCCTGAACTCATCAAGGATGACAAGTTCAATCCCTTTCTCATTGAAGAATCACGCTTATCAGCACTTAATTTCCAACTTGCATGCTCTTTGTCAGTACTTTAACAGTCCTTGTGGTCACTCTTTTCTTGTTTCTTTTCTTTGGTGAAGCATTATTGCTTCTTGTAGCAGCTTTCTTCGTTGATTTACTGGAAGATTGTGATAGTTTTGATGGGAACATGGAGCTGTTCTTGTTCTGTTTTGGTTTGTCTATAGTTTTTGTTTTCTGTTCTTCTTCAGCTACGACTTTTGGCCTTTGTAAGGTATGACCTTTCAACCAAATATGATGTTGTCTGAGGAATAGGCTGTAGAGGCAGTACTGGCCTATTCTTCACCGAAAAACTGAAAGAGATCTTGTCAATCTTGTTTCAAGTAGTTATCCCTATAACTAATGTCGCAGTTGTTCAATGAAGAGCTACAAAATGAGATTGTTTCTTCTACATCTTCAAAATCTTACAAGCTATTATTTTCTTATGCTGCTTGAGGGTTAAATTCCTTGGCACCAATCATTATGCGATCAGAAAATGGAAAAGAGAAAAAGATACAGATCAAGTAAACAGTGCAATTAAAGACTAAGGAGGGCTTGTTGGAAAAGTAAAATTATAGTTTGAGGCGAGCTAATCAAGGAATCCAGATATAAATAATTATCGACAGAAAGAAAAGAAGGCCAGGGATTGAGTTTTGGTTGATTTTGCTACATCTAGAGGATTAGGAATACAACAAGAAATGCATGGGCTCTTGTCTTGAATCTTTCTAGATTTCCTTAATTTATTAACATACACATTATCTTCGTGTTGGATTCTGTGTTAAATTTTGATAATCACATGCATTTAGGCTCGGATTATATGGTATTATGCTATGCTGCTTGTTTCCTAGATTAACAAATATCTATAAACGTCATGTTTGGACATAAATAGCTTGGATAAGATATAGGCTAAATTATATGCAAATACTCTGAATTTTTTATCAAACTGATATAATAGAATAGTAATCTTTCAAAAAATTTGATTAGATTATAATCATTTTTTTTATATAAACAATAGGCTTTTCGTCATTTTTACCGCATGTTGTAGGCTAAAAACGCAACACATATCCTAGGTACATGATTTGAAAAAATAAATAAATAAATAAATAAGAAATAAAAATAAGGATTTGAAAAAAAATACAAAAAATAAAAACCAACAAACCCATCCACCAATCAAAATCAAACCCACATATAATCTGCTTTTAGTATTAGATAATAATATAAATTTTATAATAGAACACCATCCAATAGTTTAAGTTTTTTTGATTGAAATGATTTTTTAAAATCGTATTAGTTTTACGAACCGATCAAATGATCATGAGTTTGAATTTTTACTATTCTTATCTTTTAATTAAATTAAAATTAAAAATTAAGTACAAAAAATAGTAGTGGATATGTATAAATTTTAAGGTAAAAAAAAAACTTTTATTTGAAAAAGTAAGTTTGAGAATGAAATAAATTTTATCTTGTAATAACATTCAAAGGTGTTGGGTTGAAATGTTTTGTTGACTTTCAAAATCCTCCCACTACGCAGTTCTTTTGTTCTCTCTCACTGCATGTCTTGATTCATTCTTGATATTAACTAATAAACTAAAGAAAAAAATAATTTTATTGTAGCTATATTATTTAAAATATTATGCACATCCTCACATTTTACTATTTATCCTCTCACAATTCATCGTTATTTTTATTATTCATAACTTTTTTTACACTTTGATTCCTAATATTTTTGAATGCATAATTTGATCTATATGTTCATTTGCTCATCCATTTTGATCCATCGATGGAGAGAGAAGGCCGAGAGGAAAAGAGAGACGGAAGAAGAGGGAGATCGTGGCCAAGCTCATTTAGATCACTCGGTCAACGAAAATTCACTAGATTTTTTTATCTTTAAGAGATGAGTTTATCCATAGTGGTTTCAAGCCATTAAACAATTAGAGGAGATGGATCGGAGTCAAAAAACGAAAAAAAATCCAATTTGATTTTGTATTTTTCTTTGCTTTTGTATGTATTAAAATGATTTTTAAAGATTTTAAATGTGTTAATTGGCTTTATTCTTGTCATTTAGAGGTGTTTAGAGAAAAAAATAATGCCGAAATTCAATTTTTAGAGGTCCGAAAGTTGACCCTCGATTTTTCAACGAACTTCCGACGACCTCGGGTTCATCGAAAATTGCAAGGTTTTTTTTTTTTCGACAAGCAAGCCTAGTACGCGAGCTTGCAATGGCAAGTCCAAGCGTGCTCGGCTTGCCTACAAAGGCTAGCCACGATAGCCTCCCTCGACAATTTTTTTAATATGTGCAACCTAGTTGCACAAGCCAACCAGACGTCTCTCTCTCTCTCTCTCTCTCTCTCTCTCTCTCTCTCTCTCTCTCTCTCTCTCTCTCTCTCTATATATATATATATATATATATATATATATATATATATATATATGTCTTATTTTTATTGCTTAACTTTAATTGTTTAATTATTTATTTCTTATTAAAATTCACATAAAAATAATTTTTTAATTTAATTTTATTTGTTAATAATTTCATTTTTTAATATATGAATTTTGAAATGAAATTTTAGAACGTCGTTGTTTTATTTTTTAAAATATATCATTATAATTTATACAATAATTTTTTTTTAATTTTTAAATGAAAATTTTTTTGTTGATTATTTTTATTATTTTAAATTTATTACTTTAATTTGTCATTTTTTTAAATTCTCATCCATTTAATTTCAAATTACATTAAAATATTTAAAATATTTTTTTTTTTTATTTTATATATTTTTATACATTCACTCTATAAAACAAACTATGAAACTAAAATAATTTTTCTAAATAATTTTATATGTTTTATCCTACCCGCAGCGTAGTGTAGGTAAAAAATCATAATCACAAACGAATTTGAAATACATACAAAAAAATTTTGTAAACGTCTTTGCTTTTTCACTAATTTATCAATAGCCTTTGTCCTCTCATGCAAAACTTCAATTAGGAATCTAATGAAGCAGCATACCCAAGCTATAGATACAATAGCAAAAAAACAAAGTCAAGTTTATAACTATTGTTGTTAATAGCACATTAAAAACAACATAATTAAATAATAACGATTGACACAATAAATAAATAAATTCATTATAAATTAAGATGGAGAAAGAATTAAAATTTTTTTACCTTGATTATTAAGAAAATTAAGAGTTAAAATCATGTTACTATATTTCATGATATAAAGATTACCGAACAATTAATATAACTTTACATAATTTTAGGGTAATTATTTCGAGATACAACCAAATTGTTTTTTTGAAACAATATGCGTTGTTTATAAAATTTATCCGATACAACAAATCAAGTATATATTGCATATCATTTCGGGAATATAATAAGTTTAGTAATTTTATCATGTTTTAATAAGTTTACACTACTTATAAAATTTGAAATTTGAAATAAATAGTATCATTGCTATCCAAAAATAAAACAAATGAGAATTATATAATTTTACAATGGGAGATCAAAGAATACAAATATACAGAATTTTTTTTTCACTAAAAAATATTGCTATATATTTCTGTCGAATAAGCAAGAATATATAATATTATTGAGCCAAATCTCTTATGTAGTAATATATTGGTGGTATCATCTATAAATTTTGAGAAATATGACTTTGAGGTTGATAATACTTACAAAATGGAGAAAAAAAGAAAAGAAAAGAAAAGTATTTGCCTTAAAGATTGAGACGTGAGATATAGCCAAAGCTTTTAAGAGGGGATGGCAATTCTCGCATGCATGGTGGGAAAGCCAAAAGCGTGACTTTGTTTTTTGAGTCATTACCATACATTAAACGCTTGATTTACTTGATAGAGAGTCGAAATAATTATTTTGGAAAGAAAATTATAAATTAGTCTCTCTAGTTTTGTCAAATGAATTAAATAATTTATCTTGTTTCAAAAACTAAATAATTAGTTATTTTAACAGCATTAATCATGATTAATTTAGTATTATTTTGTTCAAGAAAAAGTCTTCTTTTCTCATTAAACCATTCATATTTTTTCGTTTATATTCATCAAAATAAAAAATCAAAATAAATTAAAAAGAATGAAAAGAATTAAGTTATAAATAGATTTAAAAACATAAAAATCAATTAATTAGTTTTTAAAACTAAATGAATTATTTTATTCATTTTAAAAACAACAGAGACTAATTTGTTATTTATTCTTCCTTCGTAGAACGTTTTTTAATGTACGCTCATTTTCTTTTTTCTTTTTTTTTTGAGAAGTTTTTTCAAAATAGATCTAATAAACTATAATCAAGTCAAATGTGCACAATAGACTAATTAATAACTGATTAAGTCTTATTACTTCAACATGAAATTAATGATCTTTATCGGATAAGAATAACTTTCGAATACTTTCTAGTTGAATATTAGCGAAAGAGTGTACAGTGCTGAATAATATATATCTTGTATCTTGATATATTATTAGAGTATCTTCTATTTTCAGAATTTTTGTATTATTATTATGCTTTGTTAGTATGAATTTATTTTTTATTCTTCTCTCCTATTTGGGTTATTTTTGCAGTATTCTACTAGGTTTTGTGAGATTGTTTAGTTCATTTTTTGAATTGAAATTATCCTTTTTCTAAATGGATTTTGTTTTAGCTAATTTTTTGCACTTAGCTGAATTTTTCAAGGTTAAGCTAATAGGCTATAAAAGCTTTTTTTATGGATGCTTTAAGAAGTCAGAACTTTTGATTGTTAGTTGAACAAAATTTTGTTGGAGTTTTCTTTTAAATTTACGTGTTTTTTTTAAATCTGTGTCTTATGTATTTTTGAAATTGATCACTCAACGTTAACTAAAGGTACAATGGAGTTTTAAATTTCAGTAAAACTATATGAAGTTAACATATTTAGTTAAAATTGTAGTGGGGGTTTTGAATCTCACTTAAATCAATCAAAGCAAGAATTATTTGTGTTTGAAAAGTTGCGGCCTTAACCAACTTTTAGGATTGGAAACTTTCGGGGTTCTTCCTACTCGTGTGTGGAGGTTTCGACTTCCTTGGATTGTAGGTGTTGATCAGTTTCGGCTTTCAATAAATAAAAATTGGATAATTCGGTTTTGATTTAAATCATCTCAAAACCGGTGTATAGTATTTTAATTTTGAGAAACGAATTATTTAATCTTTTTTCTTTTTGTATACGTTTCAAATGGTTTTTTTATATATAAATTAATATTATGGAAACATTGATGAAAAATATTTTTTAAAATAAAATAATATTTAATTAAATCAAGCATGATATATCGATAAGGGCACTAAATAATTACTTTTTGATAAAGAAAACTTTACTTCATTTCTCCAAATTAATTTACGATTTACTCACTACATTGTAGACCGAATTGAATCTACGGTTTGTCCGATCGAACAACACCTGCTACCTAAGCTTAACTCAAACTCGATCTTGGAATGCAACCAAGTGAAGCTTTACCTCTAAACAAACCCCACAAACCCTTCCCTCTCTTTCCTTTGCTACTCTTATCCGTTTGATCACTCTCATCGTCAGATATTGGAAACATCCTGGCTGGAGTTGGACTCCTCTTACTTTGCCTTATCTTCATATCACTCAAATCCATCTCCATTGGAAACTTCCCTACTCCTAATCTAAACGAATAACATCCTGTTTTCATCAGAGGTGAAAAGTTCGATCCCTTTCTCATTGAAGAATCATACTTACGATCAACACTTATTTTCTTGTTTGCATACCCTTTGTTAGTACTTTCACAAGCTTTGTCACTCTTTTCTTGTTTCTGCTTCTTTGGTGAAGTATTGCTTCTTGCGGCAGCTCTCTCAGTTGATTTACTGAAAGAGTGTGATAGTTTTGATGGGAAGATGGAGCTCTTCTTGGTTTGTTTTGGTTGTGCTGCGATTTCTAGGTTCTGTTTTGTTTCAGCTCCCACTGTTTGATCTCTTCTGTAAGGTATGAGCTTTCCACAAAAGATGATGTTGTCTGAGAAATTAGCAGAGTTGGCAGGACAACCGGTCACGTCTTCCCCGAAAAACTCAAAGAAATCTTGATGATCAAAAGAGGAACTTCGATCTAGTTTGGAGAAGCTATCCCAATAACCCTCACAGTTCTTTAATGAAAGATCAGAAAATGAGAGTGTGTCTTCTACATCCTCACAATCTTGCCAACCAGAATTTTCTTGTAATGGTTCAGGGTCAAATTCCTCGGTACCAATATTCATTGTGTGATCAAAAAATGAAGAAGAGAAAAAGATACGGAGCAAGTAAGTAATCAATGTAAGGATAGCTTATTGAAAAAATGAAATTGTAGTTTGATGGGGCGATAACCAAGTATATATATATATATAGAAGAGAAAGAGAGAGACAGAAAGGGTATGAGTTTTGGTTGACGCTGATAGAAACTACTTCTAGAAGACTATGAATACAGCAAGAAATGACAAGCAAATAGGATGGTTACCTTTCCTTGCTATTTGCTGATTGGGGTGTACATCTAGAAGAAAATCTAGTTGATATGTTTAGATGCATTCTAGGGCTTGAATTTTTCTAGATTTTCTTAATTTATTGACCTTCTTAATTTAACGTGTTGTGTTGGATTCCCTGTTAGATTTTTATCCTTAAATTTAGGATTGACTTGTGTTGTAGGTTATTTTTTCCCTGTCAGATTTTTTAAAGATTATTTTTATCCATCTTGATTTAAACTGCAAGGTGCAGGTGGTGGGACTTAACCCGATTTTCAAGGCACTCACTTGTGCGGGAATTGTTGTTGGCATTCCACTTCACGGCGTATAAAGCGGACAATCACACTCCGCGTCTTGTTTTTTTGTTTTTTTTTCTTTTTCTTTTATTAACTTGATCGTTTTTGCCCAAAAAAAAAAAAAAAAACATGGATTAGTTTTTAAATAAAAGGACCTGGAAATTGCACGCGTTTTAGTTAGCAAATTATTTTGTTATTTTAGAGATTTCATCACTATAAATTTCTTTTTATATGGAAAGACATTAATTCCATCTTCAGAATAGCTTATTTGGAAGGTTAATTTCAAAATTAATTCTTAACAAACATATAACCTTTTCATAAATTTCTTAATTTCAAATCGAATGTAATATTTATGAACATAATAAATGGATTAAGCTGTTTCTAATATTGTGGTTTTGCCTTTCCCGAGAAAGATCAAGAATAATGAATGACTGCTAATATATAATTTTCTTCTTCTTCTTTTTTCGATCTTTTCCAATAAATTAATTATTCTTGCTATGGAAACCGGATAAAATAGACAGTCACATGAAAGCATACCCTTCAGTCTGCTTTCTCGTTATATTTTTGTCTGAATCCATCTAGAAGGCCATGTCTCCTTCTAGATAGATAATGACTTGATGAGTTGAGATTCTTAATTGTCATCATTTGTTCGCTTATTCTCACTTTCTAAAATCAGAGTCAATAACTACTCCAACACTCGTCAAATTTCTGGAAGGATAAGCTTATTAAGCCAGTATGAATGCTCGCACAGAAAATGTTATTTGACAGGTGGAGTGGTTGTGTCAGCTTTTATTGTTTTTAAACTTTAGTTTCCGTTTTGTTGCACATCACGTTTTTTTGGAGAAGTAGTCCTCAGACAAAAGCTTCACGGATCATATATATTAAAAAAGAAAAATCTTGTCAGTCTTTCTCATCAGGCTAATTAGTCTAAAATACTTTGAATTTGAGCCAATAAGTACTTAGTTCACAATCACTGTGTTTTCTAATTTTTGATCCGTCTATGCTAATTTCCTTATAGTAATTCACCATAGTGAATTATAAATTATTCCGTCTAGTTTTACAAAATAAATTAAATAATTATTCTTATTTTAAAAATTAATTGATTAATTTTTTAACCGGTATTGATCGTGAATAATTTAATATTATTTTGTTTCAAAAAAAATATTTCTTTTCTTATCAATCTTTTTAAATTTTTTTACTTTTTTTTTCTTTTTCCTAAAACAAAGTAAATTAAAAAGAATGAAAAGACTTGGGTTATAAATAGATTTAAGAACATAGAGACTAATTGATTAATTTTTCAAACTAGAGATGGTATTTAATTCGTTTCAAAAAACTAGAGGACTAATTTATAATTTACTCAAATTTATCATTCCTCTAGAATTTCAATTTCCATGTATTAAGATATTGTTTGGTAACAAAAAATAAAATGATAGGAATGAAAATAGAAATTTTATTCCCATTTTGTAAATATTTGGTTGAAATAAATGAACCAAAAATGAAAATGAGATTTATTTTCTTCAAAATAATAATATATTATTTTAATTTATTGAGTATCAACTATTTTTATCCTATCTATTGCTAACACCACCATTGCACCATCGACAGAGGTGATAAAAAAAAAATTAAACAAAAATTATTATTATTTTGTCATCACTCCTCTATCACTACAATCCACTATCACTATTTTTCTACTTCCATTTCAAGTATTATTGTTAAACCAGTATTAATACTGCTACTATCATAATAATCACCTCTTTTATTTTTACTACAATCATTTTTTATAAAATTTTAAATTTTATCTTGATTTCTTATTATTATTTTAAATACAATATTAAAATAAAAATATCATTCGATTTCTTAATTTTCATTCTAATTCTTATACTTTCGTTCAAAACTTTTTATTACTATTAACCAAATGACACACACAGATATATATATATATATATTCTAATAAGAGGAGAAATTACAATTACAAATAAAAAGCTCAATAGTTAATTACCATAAGAAAATTTAAAGAACTATAAGTTCTTGTTTTACCGGAAAGATCGATCAGGAAAAGTTTGGACACATTAGTCTTTTCATTATTACATTTTGTTCAAGAGCATTTTAAGATTGAATTTAATTAAATATATATACATGTCCGGTGTAAATTCAAAATGTGTAAAATTCGAATAGTATAATTATATTAAAAAAAAACCGTATCATTTAAAGTTTGTGTGAACTGTACTTTAACATTTATTGCTTAACACATTATTATTTAATATAAAATTTAGTGTTGAAAATTTGTTTGCAATTTTAAAAAAATCATGATTTGTGCGCGATCCTGATTTGGAATGAAATTTATATAAATCAAAGTTTTGTGTATTCCGAATGTGGAAAACAAAATCTTGGTCAGTGGATTAGTGTCTATATATATTACGAATAGCATTGTTTTTACATAATTGTCTTGCAGAATTTACTTATCCAAAAAATATCAAACATTTGGATGAATATCTTATGCATTAAACAAGTAGATTTCATTTAATAAATCTTATAAATATTTTAATGATTAATATTTTTTATAAGCTAATTTTTAAAATAATTATATAAACTAGCATTGTTCATGTATTATATAGCATGGTTGTCTTCAAATTTTTTGGCAAAACCTCATAATCATCTCATCTCAAGAAATTTTATAATACACATATCATTAACCATGACCTTTTCTTCAAAAAAAATAAAAATAAAAAAGGCAAAAAACACATATGCCAAAGTCAACAAAAGAAAAGCATTTGAAAAAAGCATTGCAGAATTTAGTTACCCCTTTTGAATATGAAAGTATAAAATAGTTTGCAAACAAATTGTTCATTAAACCTCATATTTACTAATGTATGAATTGAAAACAAAAGCGTAAAATGTAGGTCTTCTGTTAAGTAATAAATTATTAATATTTCATGAAAAGTAATTACCACACGTGTTTCTGCGTAGATTTTATATAATTTATTTTTTAACATATGGTCAAAAACTTTTTCTAAACTAAAATTCATTTGAAAATCCATCTTTCAATTAAATTTCAGATTGAATCTTTCTCCAACCATTTTTTATTTGAATTTGGGTCGTTTTGTTATGTAATGCTCGATTACAATGTGTAAAAATATGTTAAAACTTATAGATATTTTTTTAAAATTTGTATTTTTTTCCCTAAATACTAAGAAGTAAGTAATTAAATTTAAAAAAAAAAACAAGTTTTTTTTAAAAAAGTCAAGCATCAATGAGTTTTGATATATTTTTAACTATTGAAAAAATAAAAAAGTCAATTATATACAAACCATATGTATTTTTATTTTTAAAATCGATAAAAACTCGTCATAATGGTTCAATTTCAGAAAAAAAAAAAGTTTAACTTTATTTAAGAATAGTTTGACGTCATGGTGTCCGGTGAAAATTAAAGTCACTTTTACCCAGATTTAATTTAATGTCGGTCAAATCCGTTAAAATCCAACCAATAGGATCGGGTGGTGTCTAGAGAAATTTCATTATTGCTGGATGAAAGACAAGAGGACGAAGCTCGATGGATTTCTAGTGGAAAAAAGGCCAACGGGCTAGGCTATTACAGTAAATGGCAACATGTCTAGCCCATGTGAAAGAAAATCATATTAGGCCCAAAAGAAAACAGCTTGAGATATTTTCTGATGCTCACTGAACAGACAACACGACGTCGTTGTCGACCAGCCTTTGGCAGCAGTCGTTTTCCCCGGTATTCTCCATTGCACCTGACGAATCCTTAAACCGCACTCCCGCACTTTTCCAAAGCGCGTGATAGCACCCTAAAGCAACGATAAGCTTGCGACCGAAAATACGTGTATTTATGCGAGTGTGAGATAGAGGCTAGGTATGAGTATTCGGTTAAACGGTTCGATTTGATTTTTGATTAATTGAATTAAAAAAAATAAAAATCAAAATCGAACTGAAATAAATTCGATTTGTAATCGAATTATTTTGGTTTTAATCAAAATATTTTACTATAAAAAAAATCATTACGAGAGAGATGTTTTATATCAGCACTTAGTTCACTAGCCAATGAAGTAACATCTTGTTATCAATTAATCCTTTTTATAAACAATCACAAAGCCCTTGAAGATTTTAACCAAGCTTTAATGAAAACGAGTCCAAGTGTAATAAATTTGTTCATTCAAAAACACGAGTATTCCAATTAATTACATTCGTCACTTTCTTTTCTTACCCCAACGGTCCTTAAAATTTACTTCTCATCTGCGTGTTTCGGTTTCAACAAGAATGAAGATTGAAAAATTAGGAATTTAGAAATTAGGAAATTTTTTACTTTTTATTTCGAGTTTTCGATCGAAACCGAATTTTTTTCTAAAAATCGAACCGAACCGAAATAATTTTGGTTTTTTCGATTCAGTTTTATATTGTATAATTTTATATTTAAAAATCGAATCAAATTTCATAATTCGGTTGGGTTTTATTCCATTTTTGGTTAATAAAGTGTTTGCTCGCCGCTGATAGAGATAGTTATATAAGTCTCGGAAGGATGTATTAGGTATTGTAAATTCATATGGAGGACACTTTGGTAATAAAAAGTATCACTGGTGATGTGAACGTTTCAAACCCTACACTCTGTCTGCAAACCCTCTTTTGTTACTCTGCCTGTAATCTATCTCGTGGCTAGTGTTTAAGCAAAACTTCTTCAGGTCAGATTCTTGTATCCTTATCGTTTCGTTTCTCTGTGATTACGTAACTGATAAGTTGCTGATTAGTGTCGAATTAAATTATGTTAGTATTTTGGTTTATTTGTCTATTATTTTGCTGATCAGTTCATCGGTTTTAATCTAGAATTTTCAGTTCTGTTCAGCTTGAAATTTGATGGTAAGTGTCTTTTCTAGTCCGATATGAAATGGTTTGCACATATCTAAAAGGTTTTGTTAATGTATTGAATTCTTTGTTGGAATTTGTTATGTAAGATTTGTCCTAAGTAGGATGATATAGATCTAAGGAATTAATTGTTGAAATTATGATTTTTTAAGGAAAATATCTTTTATGTGTCTATTTTCTGTAGATCAAGTCGATTTTGTTTTTCTTGGATAATTAGACGGGGTTTTATTTGCATCTTTTAATTATCATTTTGATTGTTTTTGCTCTTGCTTGGGAGATGCTCGAGATAGCAGATTTGTAGTATAGGTCGAGTGTATGACATCCACCGATGTTCCTTATTATTATGTTTTTCACATTGAAGTGATAATAAATCACTTCTTTTTTTTCCTTTCATTCGATGCCTATAATGCATATAGTCCTCTTTGAGCAAAACAAAGGATATGTCTATCTTAACAGTAGCGAGAAAATCTCTTTTACAAGTCGGACTATATTTCAATCCAAAAGGAACAATCCTCCTTTAGATTATATATACACACAATTTCACACTCAAAATAATGTATCTTCATTAAATAAAATAGAAACTGATATGTCATAGGTTTTTCACAACTTTTAGTTGGATTTGAATCCAAAATCACAAGATAGAAACAAGTTGAAATTTGAACATTACGTGCACCTTCAAGATTTGTTTATTTTTTTTAACTTTTTTATTGAAATCAAACTTGAATTAATAATGATGTGAGAAATAAATGTTGATATTGCATGTGTTAGTCTCTGTATATATCTCCTGCTTTCAATGTCTTTTCTAGTTTTACTTTTATTTTTAAGAATCATATGTAATTGCATTTTAAATATCCACAACTCTGAACTTGTCTTATATTTCTCCCACTAATAAAATATTCAGACTACCATTCCCTCTAGAAGGTGAGGTTGTTATCAATAATTATGTTGTGCTGATTTAGCCCAGTTTGTTGGCTACAATCAATATTAAGTTAGTTAATCATATTATTTAGTCTATCTAGAGAGTATTTACATTTGACAGCTTCCTTTCAGATCCTGTTCTTGCAAGAGTCAAACAACTAGATTTCTTTTTTCTTCTCACATGCAGTCAATGCCAGGCAAATGATTGGATGGACCTATTATTTACCAAAAATAGTTTATGGTAGTCAAATTAAAATTTTTAAAGGTTGTGGACCGATGTTAGTTTGACCGTAAGTTCATGGTGCTTTTGGGTCATTTAGCCTTGAAAATTTGACAATAGTGTCCCTTTAGGGTCCTTTTTCTCTGTATTTGTTTTTGCTCTTATATTTCCTTTCTTTTCTGAATTTTTCAACCCTTCAAGTTGAAAATAAATTCTTGGTGGCCTAATGATCCAAGGTAACAAACCTTCACAATCTACCACATAAACAACTATCTCCTAAGTATTAGAATGTCAAATTTGCGATGGTTACATGTTGCATTAGACGCATGGTAATGCAATGTTGATGAGCCATTGAGGGGAAAGAATCTAGCAGTGTAACTTCTTGTATTCTATCTGAACTACTTATTTTCGAACGAGATCCACATTGTTCACAAATATTCATTTTTGATTTAAAAAATTTCTTATAATTTAATCCATAACAAATTTTATGTTGAACCCACAAATGCTTGTATTTTTTATTTATGGCGAGATCATTAGAATTTTTGAAATCTTAGTGAAAGATTGGTTTGTTATCTCACATTTATGTCTTCTGTTTCATGAGATGTCTGCACGATCAAGCATATTTACCAAGGTCGTCCTTATGGAGAACCTTACCAGCAGCCTTAAGTACATTGCATCCCCAATATTATTTGACAGATATGTCGCAACAAACACAATCCATCCCTTCTTTTGGTGCTCTACGATAATGTACACAAGCAACTCAACTATCAACATCCAATGCAACAGAGGGCTCTGCTATAGTGTTTGTGGTTACTGGCTAGTTTTTATGTTGGATCCATGATGGTGATGGAATGTGATTATAGAAGTTTTCATAGGACTGGAAGTGGTCTTTACATAATTTTCGTTTTGAATGGTTTTCGGTGTGGTTTTTGTTCATACTTGCTGATGCTGTGGTCTCAGCATGTGTGACTGCTTGTTAAGCCCAAATTCAACTTTCATAGTTTCCATTAATATACATTGTTGTGTGCTATTGTGAATTTCTTCATCTTTAATTATTTCTTTCTTTAAGTTTATGACTTCTTTGACTGCCCATGTTGACGCTATCTGGCACTTGGATGATAAATTGCATAAAGTGTTGAGTTTTCTTTTCTGTTAACTTATTGTTGACAATTGGCTGGTCCAGATTCTAAAGAAGTTGGATTTCAAATAATTCAAAATTTCTGCAAAATCCTGAACAACAATACTAACTTTCGATTCTTGAGCCTCAATGTCACTTCGGAAACCACCCCTCCCTCGGATCGTTCTTGACAATGTGTCGTGCATGAGAAATGCGCAACAAATCTTGCGACATGTAAATGTCTCTGTTCATGATGGTGGTGCTCTTGTACTGACAGGTAGCAATGGTTCGGGCAAGAGCACTTTCTTGCGAATGTTAGCTGGTTTTTCAAAGCCTTCTGCAGGTCAGATACTTTGGAATGGTCATGATGTTACTGAATCTGGAGTGTTCCATCAGTACAAGCTTCAGCTCAATTGGCTTTCCCTGAAAGACGCCGTCAAAGAAAAGTTTACTGTACTTGACAATGTTCAGTGGTTTGAGCTTCTTGAAGGCAAGCAAGGGAATTCTCGACCTGCTCTTGAGCTGATGGGGCTTGGAAGACTAGCAAAGGAGAAGGCAAGAATTTTGTCAATGGGCCAGCGGAAAAGGCTGCAGCTTTAAAGGTTGCTGGCAATTGATAGGCCAATTTGGTTGCTGGATGAGCCTTCTGTTGCATTGGATGATGATGGGGTTAGGTTGCTTGAGTACATTATTGCAGAGCACAGAAAGAAGGGAGGGATTGTGTTTGTTGCGACACATCTGCCAATTAAAATTGAGGATGCCATGTACTTAAGGCTGCCAGCAAGGTTCCCTAGAAGGATGACCTTGTTGGATATGCTTGATCGTGCAGACATCTCATGAAACAGACATATTTCTATTGCGCATCAAACTAGTTTTTATTACTCAACTAGCTGAGCTTCTGTAAGTTATTTGAAAGATTGATCAGTTATCCCGTGAAGGCTTTTGGTTGAAAACAAAAGTTATTCCAAATATTTCTTTCTTTTCGTTGCTCTTTGTAATTTTGGATCCACCAGGAGAAATAAAGAACGGGAAGTTGCACTGCTAGTTTTTTTGCCCTCAGTGCCTTATCAACAATGCTTTGCCATGCATCTAACACCAACATGCCACCAAAAATTTATCATCAACCAGTTTTTTGTTTCGCAATTGGCAAGATAGATAGCGAGACAGAGCAGTCTCTCTGCACCTCCTATGTTACTTCCACCATTCCCTCTACTGTCTCCGTATACATATACGTATATTTCCATGTCCTTATGCATGATGTCGAGTAATTATTTTAATCCTCTTTTACTTGGTTTTGATTATGTTAATTATTCTATAATCGTAACAGAATTTCATCTTTTTTTATGGCTGTTTTTGTTGTGTTGAGAAAGATTTTATATATATATATATAATTTCTTAGTTTCTCTGTTTATAAAATTCAGCATGTCAATTTTACAATTTTTGAATGTTTTGAACAGCTAAAATAACGTTTTATTTGCATTTGCATTTCTTTTTTAGCAATCAGATGGAAGCGATAAGCACATCAATTTTGGATTTTGGTAATCTCCCGATAAGAAATTCTGACAGCAAGGATGCTGACACAGAGGGTTTCAAGCATAGTGTAGATGGAATTTTCCAAAAAGTTGATAAAGTAAGTCATAAACTTATCTAATTTTTTTAGGTGTGTAGAATGTTGCATTAATTAATTGGCTCTAAATAAGTTGAAAATTATTTTATTTTTTATTTTTTATGTGTAGTTGGAGCAAAGAGTAAATGAGGTTGAGCAGTTTTACTTGAATATAAGTAAAAAGCAGCAGCAGAGTGGTTCGAAAGGTGGTAGCTCGACTGTGAAAGATAAAGATAAAGAGAGGAATGTACCTAGTATTAGGAAACAGCAGCAAGATGCATCGAAACGAGAAGCAGCTGCTGCTAAGAGAATGCAAGAGCTTATGCGCCAATTCGGTACAATATTGCGTCAAGTAATGAATCAGCCAATGCTGTTTTTATTGCTGCCCACTTGATTAGTGATATTGTTTTATGTTTTTGCTGTGTGAGTGGCTAAAACATAATTTTGTTTGTATCTGGAGAAAGAGTTGATTCTTCTATTCTATTATGAAATTTTAAGGTGGATTGAGAAATTGCTGTCTGAATTCTTTAATATGTTATGGAAATTGGTCCTGTTACCCCTACTATATCGCACGTTATGTTGAGCAATTAGTTGCTTTGTATGCTTGGAGAATTGGGCCTGATATTTGTCTTTGTTTACCATAGCTAGTAATTATGTTTTATCTGTTCTGTCCTGCTAAATGAAATCTGTTATTGGGATCTTATTCTTGGATAATTGAAGGTTAGAGAAAAAAATTAGGGTTACAAAATAATTTTTGATTGTCTAATGTAATTTCTTTTTGTTGCTTTCAGATCACGCAACACAAATGGGCTTGGCCTTTCATGCAACCTGTAGACGTCAAAGGTCTTGGGTTGCATGACTATTATGAGGTAAAATTTCATTATCCATCTCCAATATCCTATTTCATCCACATCTACTATATAAGAGCCATATCATGTTGTTTTTAAAAGGAAAGTGAATCGTGCTTTCAATTCTCAGTTTGTGTGATCGAACACATGCAAGTGTGACTTGTTACTTAGCTGGGAATATGGCCCTGAAGTTTAGTTGTTTCTATCATTTATTGCTGGCTGTTAATTTCTCTACCATTTTAGAGCTGGAGTCTTCTGAATTTGGTGCATATGGTATTTGATAGGTTATTGACAAGCCCATGGACTTCAGTACAATAAAAAATCAAATGGAGGCTAAGGATGGCACGGGATATAAGAATGTCAGGGAGATATGTGCTGATGTGAGGTTGGTGTTTAAGAATGCAATGAAATATAATGACGAAAGAAGTGATGTTCATGTTATGGCCAAAACATTGTTGGGAAAATTTGAGGAGAAGTGGCTACAACTTCTGCCTAAAGTCACTGAAGAGGTATGTGTTATCGAGCTATTTTAGTCCTTGATCTTTTGCTAAAGATAAATCCAATTGCCTTGTTTTTTATTGCTTGATTATTTTGTTGAATACCAAATCAATGTCCCACAGGAGAAAAGGAGAGAAGACGAGGAAGCAGAGGCTCAATTGGATATGCAGCTTGCTCAGGAGGCTGCTCATGCTAAAATGGCTCGTGATTTGAGTAATGAGGTATCCTGAAACTTAACAATCTTTCTTACAAATGTATATAGCTCTGACAAAGCTTTTACTTTTCTTCCTCTTTTGAACGACAAATTAATCTTTTTGAATAATTTATAGAATTCTTCGTAAACATGTTGAAATTGATCTTCTATTGGTATAATCAAGTTCAACCATGCATTCATCTTTGTATTATTAGGATTATGTTGGAAAATATGTTTCAAGACTCTGAAATGACCTGTTTTCAGCTTTATGAGGTTGATATGCATCTGGAAGAGCTTCGAGAAATGGTTGTTCAAAAGTGCAGGTTAGTCGTCCAACTTTGTATATGCTGTGAATGATATTGTGACTGGAAAAGTTATTTGTTATGGGTATATTCTTGATGTGCTTAAAGTTAACTTGTGAAGTACTTCTGCATGAAGATTTAAATTTCTGTTTCCAATCCTCTGTGGCAACTAAAGTTAATTTTGAAAATGCCATTCCAGAAAGATGTCCACGGAAGAGAAAAGAAAGCTGGGGGCGGCTCTTACGAGACTATCTCCTGAAGATCTAACTAAAGCATTAGAGATTGTTGCTCAGAATAATCCAGGTTTTCAAGCAACTGCTGAAGAGGTGGAACTTGACATTAATGCACAGGTCATAATTTATAGCATAACTATTTCTTCTATTTTTGATTCTTGAATGAACTGCTTCGTAAAGAAACAAATTGTGCAGAGGGAATCAACCCTATGGAGGCTAAAGTTTTTTGTGAAGGATGCCCTGGAAGTCCAGGGAAAAAGTGCAGCAAACACAGGTGGCAATAACACCACCAGCAACAACAACAACAACAACAAACGTAAAAGAGAGATTTGCGATGCTATTGCCAAAACTGCCAAGAAGAGGAGCAAAAAGCCCTCTTCTTGATCTCTTATTGTACCATAGACGAGTGACGTTCTGGATTCTGTAAGCATTCATCTTGGTTGCATTTTCTCATGGAACATTTTAGCGGGCAGCAATTCTCACCATCAGAGAATGAGCCTGAAAATTATCTTGGAGAGAAGGCATATATCTTGACTTGTCTCCTGGTAAATGAAATTTTCCATTTGTGAGGAGCTAGTTGCGACCAATGCCATTCTTGGAGAGAAGGCGCATGTTTTTGGGTTTGCTACACTCTTTTCCTTCTATGCTATGCTGGGTCTTGCTGCTCCTTTTGAGTTCTTGTTCTTCCCCAGTTATGAATGGAAGGAGGTTTTGTAGCAAAAGTAACTCTATGCAGCACGAATGGGCAAATTCATTTCATTATATACCTGTATATATTTTACTATTATAGGAGGTGGTGGGGAAATATGTGATATCCCTTTACAGACCATGCGAGGGAAATCAGACCGCTTCCTAGGGAGGGAGTGGCAGTCAGTCTACTGGTGCTGGGCAAGGGAGATTGCTTGAACTGGTGGCTGACTGGTCTGCACTCTCCCCTCTTTTTTTTTTTTTGACCTTAGCCATTGGTAATTCTCAGCTATAGGTCAACTCCCGACATGGAATGTCTAGTCGTCTTTCAAGATACTAGAAGCTATATCTTTTAGTATCAGTAGCCCGTTTGCTCCGAATTTGACAGTAGAATCCTCTAATGTGATCGGTCCAGGCAGACCGGGTTCATGTAATAATTTCTAAGAAATCAAAGCAGCCGATGGCTTCAGCCAGTTCTTTATGGTTACGTGTTTAAAAGCAAAGGATACTATTTGTATTATCGTCTCGCCACGATTGAAAGCAAAAGAATGGAATGGTGTGCATTGCACTAGAAGGTTAATGCCAAATGAGGGAATGCATCTTTTTTTCTCGTTTGATCGCTATGAAAATTGTTACTATGATAGGTTGGCTTATTTTATAGAATCCTATTTCTTCTACGTATTGTTTGATGGAGGTTATAAGTCCAAGATTTAGAATATTTTTTCAAGTGATGTTTATGTTAGTTTACGATTTTTATTTAATTCAGTCTCCAAGAAAATAATTTTATATAAAACTTTTTTTATTTTAATGCATGTTGCAAAAAGCAAGTAGAGATCTACTTTATTCTTACTGTCTCTTTGTTTCAAGAAATCGATTATGTAAAAAATCGAGGTTCGAAAAAGGGAAACTTTAACTAGATTTATCGAGTAATTAAATTCGAACATTCATTGCTGTTTTGTCGCACCTTTGGACTCCTTTAAACAAAAAGATATACAAAAAAATTTATTAATCTTTTTGCTAAATCCTACTATTATTAATAAGAAAAAGAATTCCTTTAAATAAAATATGATTGATAGGACTTATTTAAACAAATACTTTTGTTCACTTGGGTTCCCATTATAGGCCCAAGACAAATTTATTGAAACATTAGCCCAATCTTACGAGTAGGTCAGCTAGACCTTATCGGACAACAACACCTAACGAGTGTTTCACCCCCAAAAAACCGACAAAAAATCATGCCACCTTGGAAAATAGTATCGCAAAAATTAGGAACAAAATAAAAGAATAAACTACTTCAGAAAAGCCAATAAAAGCCCAGCAAATTGGGCCACAATACTAGAAACAAAGCGGTAGCAAACATATGCAGTGATGCAATGGATAGCATGCGATATATATATATATATATATATATATAAACAAGTAAAGAAAACACCAAGCAACAATCAATAGACTGAGCACGAGTTGACATAAAACTATAGATAAAACCATATTGAGTTCCGAATAATAAGAAGAAACTAGACTTAAAAATAAGAGCTGTTCATGAAACTTGAAACATATCACCATCTAAATTTGAGAGCCAACAAAAATGCTGAAACTGCCTCTAGACTTGTATCTTGCCACCGCCGATCAAGAACCCAATTCTGCAAACAGGCTTGCAATGATAGTGGTGACATAAAACTAAACATCTCTCGGCAGATAGATAAACATCCAAGACAGAGACAATTAAAAAAAACCAAGACCTTATTTTGAAAAATGCTTTCTCTAGAAGCAACCTGCACGGTTCACTTGCCCTTCTTGGCTGCAGATTTGGTAACCTTAGCACCAGTGGGGTCCTTCTTCTCAACACTCTTGATGACTCCCACAGCAACAGTCTGGCGCATATCCCTCACAGCAAAGCGACCAAGTGGAGGATAAGTGGAGAAAGTTTCAACCACCATGGGCTTGGTTGGAATCATCTTCACGAAACCAGCATCACCATTCTTCAAGAATTTTGGCTCCTGCTCCAGCTCCTTACCGGATCGCCTGTCGACCTTGGTGAGGAGCTCAGCAAACTTAACAGCAATGTGAGAGGTGTGGCAGTCAAGAACAGGGGCATAACCATTTCCAATCTGCCCAGGATGGTTCATGATGATGACCTGGGAGGTGAAGTTGGCAGCCTCCCTGGCAGGGTCATCCTTGGAGTTTGAGGCAACATAACCACGCTTCAGATCCTTCACGGCAACATTCTTAACATTGAACCCAACATTGTCACCAGGAAGAGCCTCCTGGAGAGCTTCATGGTGCATCTCGACCGATTTAACTTCAGTAGTCAGTCCAGTTGGACCAAAAGTCACAACCATACCAGGCTTGATCACACCAGTTTCAACACGACCCACTGGGACGGTTCCAATACCACCAATCTTGTACACATCTTGAAGTGGAAGACGCAGAGGCTTGTCTGAGGGCCTCTTGGGCTCCTGGATCTGGTCGAGGGCCTCGAGGAGGGTTGGGCCCTTGTACCAGTCAAGGTTGGTGGACCTCTCAATCATGTTATCACCCTCAAATCCAGAGATGGGAACAAAGGGAATCTTGTCAGGGTTGTAACCGACCTTCTTCAAGTAAGATGAAACTTCCTTGATAATTTCATCATACCTTGCCTTGGAGTATTTTGGAGTGGTTGCATCCATCTGTTCCAAAAAAAAGGCAAGAATAAACATTGGTTGCTGGCAGAAACATATCTTTTAAACTATGTGATAGGAAACATTACAATGCTAACTAAATGATTAACTTGAAAGAAGAGACAAGAAAAACACACACACACACACCTTGTTACAGCAGCAGATCATTTGCTTGACACCAAGGGTGAAGGCAAGGAGAGCATGCTCACGGGTCTGCCCATCCTTAGAGATACCAGCTTCAAAACCACCAGTGGTGGAATCAATGATGAGCACAGCGCAGTCGGCCTGTGAAGTTCCAGTAATCATGTTCTTGATAAAATCACGATGTCCAGGAGCATCAATGACAGTGCAGTAGTACTTAGTGGTCTCGAACTTCCACAAGGCAATATCAATGGTAATACCACGCTCACGCTCTGCCTTGAGCTTGTCAAGCACCCAAGCATACTTGAATGACCTCTTGTTCATCTCAGCAGCTTCCTTCTCAAACCTCTCAATGACACGCTTGTCAATACCTCCAAGCTTGTAGATCAAGTGCCCAGTGGTGGTCGACTTTCCAGAGTCGACATGGCCAATGACCACAATGTTGATGTGACTCTTCTCTTTACCCATGCTGAAGTCTTAGTCTTGAACTTTTATACGTACAAACAAAAAAAAACATTAGAACAACAAAATATACAACATGAAAGCATACTCCAAAATAATGTATAAGTCCAGATCCAGAAGGGGAAAAAAACAAAGAAATAGCTTTAATTTATCGACAGATTTTAGTAATTAAATATCAAAAACTTCAACCATTAATAAAAATAACTAATAAATTTTCACAAAGACGGTACAGTGAGAGCTGTTTAGATAATAATTCGTCAAGAGGACCACATTCGTCTAAAGAAAACAAAATACCTACTATCCATTATCTGCGTAAACGTTTCCGGCTTTTCAGACTACAATTTCAAATCCAAAAAAATAAACTACAAGTCTATTATCTCATCAACCAAATCAAGTAAAAGATATAAAAATCATCTATGAAAAATGAAGTCAGTCAACAGACATAAAATATCTTCTTAGATCCATATCTGTCAAGCAAGAATAAATATCATACAACAAATTCTAACACCGACGCCAAAAAATACTAATGAAAATCTTTTAGATCCGCGTAAACCATTTAAAAAATGAATTACAAAGGCACTAACGATCCAATTTTAAACAAAATACAGCTTTAAATCCAGATTTAAACAGAAAAACGGATCACAAATCTTCAACAAAGAAACCAGAAAAACTAGCATAAAAAATAAATTAGGAATTAATCAGTAACTCAGTTACAAAGAAAAATAGGAATCGAAGAATCCAACCTGAAGAAAATTTTGCTTAAACCCAAGCCGCTAAAGAGAAGAGAAACAGGGAGCAGCAACTGGAGGTGTGAAGACAGAGTGTAGGGTTTCTGTTATTTATATTGCGAGTGTTATATTTTTATTTCCCAAAACATCCTTGTTTTTTATTTAGAATCTCCAAGATATCCTCCAGTTACTTTTCCCTCGATGTCTCTATATCAGTCGCATGAATGCGCGTATTGTACTTCTGCTACTATTCAATGCCTGGGGGCTGGGGTTTGTTTTCCGCGCTTTAGAAAAGCGCGTGAGTGCGGGAAGTGTCTGTTTCCACTTTCAGGTTTAAGGATTTGACATGGTGTGAAAGAGAATATGTGGTAAAAATAGAGAAAATCAGAAATACTTGCTGCCAAAGGCACATCAACGATGTCGTGTGGTCTTTGTTTCGTTAAAATTTGTCGCTTGTTGGCCGCTAACAAAATCATTTTAGTTTAATTGTTTGTACTATAATACAAGTTTATTAAACTATATTATATTAAAAATATTAAAAAATTATTTATTTATTTAATTAAAATCATGTATAATTACTTCTTTGTTGAGTTTTTCATGAATTTTTAATAAAAAAATATGATTCATTTTTTTATACGTTGATTTTTAAATAAAAGTTGATAATAATTTAAACTTAAAATTCAATCCAAATTTAAAAAAAAATGCTTTAAAAATATATTTTATATAAAATATACAAAAAAATTATTTTTTTAACTATTCATTTGACCTATTTTCATTGTTGATGTACACTCAAATGCAGTATATAATTTACTCAATCATATCATTTCATGTTTGAAAATAACTTTGAAATTAACAAAGACAAAAAAAAATAAAAAAATACTATAGAACAGTGAATTGTATAGTGCATTTGAGTGTACATCAACAATGAAAATAGGTCTCCATCAACAATGAAAGAAATAATAACATTTATAGTATTTATATTTTTTTAATTTATTATCCGCATTAAGTCTGCGGATCGAACAATAAAAAAAATAATAACATTTATAGTATTTACATTCTTTTTTAATTTATTATCCGCATTAAGCTGCAGATCGAATAAAACAGATAAGATCATTCAAAAAAACAATAATTGATTTATTAAGTAAAATAACGAAAAATGGTTAAATATACTTAGCATATGTAAATACAACTACATAAGAAAAAAATCATTCATAAAAGTTATGTTGTCATCCAGTACGATTTAGAGAAACGTGATAGAAAACAATTTAACTAGCAATGGGATAATTCTTTTTTATTTCTTACAATTTTCTCTAGATTCGCGTTTTCCATGCTAATAACTCATGTCACCGCATCCAGCAGAAATAAAAAATCAATTTATGACAAATATTTGTGTATTTCAAATTCATTAGAGTTAGTTAGACCACTTTACCAGCAGAAGTCGACAAAGCACCATGAAAAACCAAACAGAGAAACACCATGATTTTTGCCAATGCTACAAGAGAAAAAAAACGAAGATGAAATGCAATTAGTAAAACACAATACAAAAAAGATTAAAAAATCACAAAACCAATGCACCACAAAGGCATCAACAACACATCCCAGAGAAACAAAAAAAAAAAAAAAGTCATCTAAAACATCAGAATTGAAAAAAATGATTCATTAAAAAACAAACAACAATCCTCTCCTAAATTAGACCACACCAAAGAACACATAAAGAATAAAAAAGGTAATCTTTATCGAACAAAGCAGGAAAAAACTTTAATTTTATACAAAATAACTAAACATTTATAGCTATTATCATCTTTATAACTAGTGCATCAAGCATGCAATCGTCTATATAAAAGTTCATGAAAAAAAAAATACATTTATTAGTAGCACTGTAGCAAGAACAAAATCAATTTGAGATCTGCAGTCACAAGAACACGATTAAGGGACAAGAAATACAATTTAACAAACAGAAACAATCAAAGTTTTAAAGTTACATGAGGTAATAAAATCTCAATCGAAGGGAGCAAAAAAATATTTTTTTGAAAAGACTGACAAGATGTTAAACGAAAAATTCATCGTGTTAAAAAATACTCATTTGTGCACTGCAAGAAATTCACTGGAAGAAAAAATATAAGCTTGTTAGTGCATCATAAACTTTCAATAAAAATAAAAAAACTCGGCATACAACTTGCTTTGGTTCAACTTCTCTTGTCAGTCACTTTGATCGCTACTCAGATGCATCGAACTCATTCCAACACAAATCACAAAAGAAATTTAAAAAATAAAAATAAAAAAAATAAAACCACACTAGACAACAAAATAAAAAACAAGCATGAGGTTGAACTGTTTAGATTTTAACTTTTTGAATAAGCAAGAAATCTCATTTTGATTAAAAAAATCACTTATTTAAACAAAATAAGAAACATGAGATACATCATGAATAAACAAAAGAGAAATATATTTTAAAAATATACATTTAAAGTGCTTTTTTTTTTTTCTAAACTCTAGCTTGCATCCTGCGAAAAGCAACATCTCACTCTTGTTTCTCTTTTAATTTATTAAAGCAGCCTTAATATCAATGACTTAATTGTGAACTAACTTCCTTCCAATTAAAACCAAAGGAAAAAAAAAAAACTCAATCTAAGACTAAACTATTTGGAATTGAATGCAAATTAAGGTCATAACTTGAATTAACAAAATATATAAACATTTATAATTTTACACAAACACGTAAATATATGAGTTTTGAAATCTCACCTTTCGACTCGATCATCATTATTTTTCCATTCTAATGCCTCTGTCTCCCTCATTGCCTCTTCACCCTGACCTTTTTTAACCTTGACAACAAATTAGAACAATGTCAATAACCCTCCATCTCTTATAGTTTGAGTAGGTTGCAGGAGATGCATAAAACTATAAAAGAGAAAGAAAAAGGAGTTATGAAACTTGAAAAAGAGAGAGCAGCCCTTCTTTTCTGTCTCTTTCTTTTTTGAGAGGAGAGTTGAGGGTGGAGAGATAAAAGAGGTGTCATGCGGGATAAAGCCACAGTAAATTGAACAGGATATCTGAGGAGAAAAATGAAGAGGAAATTAGCAAAAAAGGGCAGAAAATAGCTGAATGATGGAGAAGAAGGGAGGAGAATGCCATTGCAAAATCTAACTCAATGGCAAACACTGTAATTATAATCCAAAACAGGGGGTGCATAAATAACACACAAGTTATAAAGAAAAAAAAAAAAGAGGTTGAGAACTACCAAGCAAATGCAAAGAACGACGTTTTTGAAAGTAATGGCGAGTCTTAATCCACAATACAACTGAATGTGGCAGTATTTTGTAGTTTTTTTTTTTTTTTTTTTTAATAATATCTTTCGGTTGCTTTCTTGTCAGCTTGACGTAGAATTTTCTTTCTCGTGGGCTACTTGTTATAAGTTCCTGACTTGAAACGTAACACGGCAAGCCATTAAACTTGGTCCTCTTGCCTCTCATGTCTCAAAATTTAAGCTTTGTTAAGAAATAATAATCTTCATGATCATTTAATATTCTTATTATTTACATAATTTAATTTAATATAAAAATTAAAAAAAATAATATAATTAATTTAATTATTTAAATATTTTTTAATAGCTCTTAATTCTTTTCAATTCTCTTTCTAATTTTGAAATCTATAATTATTCATTAGTTTGAGTAAAAATGTTTTATAGAGATTAAAAATCTTGTTTGAAGTTGTTATCTTTTATATTCACTTTATTTCATAATGAAATATATTATTTTATCATCTCTCTAATTATATTATTGTTATCTTTTCTTTTATAACAAACTCTTTACTATTACTATTATTAGTATTATTATTAAAAAATGATCTGCAACATGAAAATTTTCCAGTAGCACTACATTATTACGAAAGGATTTAGTTTTGGTATGCAAAATTAAACTTCGAAATATTGCACCAATTGAATCCAATAAATAAATAGCATGATATTCTAAGCAATACTAAAATACAAGTGACTGTCCGAATATTTTATATCTCACCATGATGAAATTTACGAATTAGAAAGCATGTGAAAATGTAGGCAATGTATTTTCTGAACCTAACGAATTATTACTTGTTTAGTCGGCCTTTGAAGATGAAGATTGTTTGGACAATTGTTTGTGGCAATTTTTTCTAGCACCAAGTCTCGTGAAAAGTCAAAAAAGAGAAAGCCAATTGATTGAAATATACAAAATTCTAAAATGGTTAGCTTTATTCAAGCAAGTTAATACGTTGTGTATTTGTGGAAGTTGGATTTATTAT